CAAATAACATTACGTCAACCGTGAACGTAGCAAGCCGTCATTGTGCTAACGCAATTAGCAAGCGCTGGCATAAACCGTAACATTTTTTTTATGCATGTCGCGGAACAGCATTTTCGAACAGAAAGCGTGACAGAACTGCTCATCGATAACGACACGAACTTGTACATACCCAAGATGCTACCAAAGGCGTGAATCGTATGTGGATTGTGCTGGATTAAACTCGACGACCATCATGTTTCTCTCATTGACGGATCTATCGCTTTCACTTTCTGCTTCTTCGTACGCACTTCCGCTTTGATAGCGTCACTTCCGGTTGTGAACTCCACGGCTTCCATTGAAATCAATAAAGTTACGTTGTATAAAAAAATTCTCTCAACTATCCATAGAAATAGTAACGTTACTTGAGTGTCACTTAAATGCAACATTCAAATAGATTGACTGTGTAAATTGGGGACAGAACAGACTGGACCCATTTCTTTTTGTGTGTTGAATTGTTTTTGTTGTTTTGTTGACGAGAGGTCAAAGGAACAGGTTCACGCGGCCACGAACGATGTGACGAACAGTGACGGGAGCCAGTCTCCTCCGCTGTCTGACGGCACTTCCGCTTCCTCCGCTGCTCTGCGTGCAAATGCGACGGTGAGGAGACAAGTCTGACCTCAGCATCCACCCCACGCACGCGTTGACACTCTGATCAGCATGCGCTCGGCATTCTCACGGTGGAGGAGGACGAGAGGTCAAAAAAAGTGATTCATCGACCCCACCACGATTCACGATCCTCTGTGCTCTGAGATCTTTCCTTGTGGGCGAGGAGCTTGGTTTAGCCTGATTTTGTTCACGCGGGACACGGGCAGCTCCGTTTGAGTGCGATTTTGGCTCTGCTCAGGCGGCGATAGCATTGGAAGCTGTTCTTTATTTTTAAGGGTAATGTGAGATGAATTTGAAACGATAGTTCGTTTTGGGATCGTAGGTTGGGGTGTATTTGTGGCAACTAGGGGCTGACCGATTCATCGGCTTTTAAAATCGGCAAGATTGTCCTATTTATATATTTATTTGCATTCATGTTGTATTTTTATTCACCAATTACAACTAAAGACAAAGATAAAGAGGTTGAATTTTAACATTGGAAGCTGTTCTTTATTTTTAAGGGTAATGTGAGATGAATTTGGGATAGTAGGTTGGGGTGTATTTGTGGCAACTAGGGGCTGACCGATTAATTGGCCTTTAAAATCGGTAAGATTGTCCTATTTATTTATTTATTTATTTATTTATTTATTTATTTGCATTCATGTTGTATTTTTCTTCACCAATTACAACTAAAGACAAAGATAAAAAGGTTGAATTAAAAAAAAGATGACTTTCTGCAATCATTTGTTTCATTTATTTTCCTTATTGAGGGAGCACAGAACAGAAAATAATGCGCGAGCAATTGACGTACACCGTGCAGGTATGCATCATGACTACTATCCAGTTCACCAACATTTCTTCACCAGCTACAGTGGAAGAGCAAACGCAGAGTGTTCTTCTCATGGAAATGGCACCCGGCTAAACTGTCTAGCTACTCAGCGAGTGCGAAGATGCTGGAGGTAACAACCTTCCAACCCCGCCCCCGCTCCTCTTGTGTGAGTGAGTTCAGTGTGGAGTGCGAGTCACAGAATTAGCAGTGAGGCTGACTGCGTTGCATGTGCTTCGGGGGCACGCGCTGCAGTAAAAGAGAAACCGGCAGTTGTCATCCTCAGTCAGTAACTGATCCCGGGGAAGTAAGTGTAAAATGGAGCGCAAGGGAGGGAGACTCCTGTTGCGTGCCGTCACCATAGTAACGCCCCCATTTGCTTGTAACCCCGCCCCCCTCCTCCCGAACTCACCAAATTGAAAATACAGTATATTGGACCTTTCCTCTCACCTTCTTCAGAAAAAGAATCGAGGATATTGTTTTAAAATTCTCTTTTCAAACAAAATGTACGGAATGCATTGAATAGGAGTATTGGCGGTCAAAGAATGGATACATTTTTTGCACACGCATGCACGCAAAGGAAAATAGAATTGAATCAGAAGGGTCAAAGATTCTCATTTGTTTTGCATTGCTCAGTGACAAGAAAAACTTGAAAACAGAGCTCACAATAAAAGCAGCGACGACGTCATTCTAGCTGACCTAAATAAATAAATAATACGACGAGCCTCCACGGCTTGCCTTCTCACCTACCGCCATCGCGTGGACAAGCATGGCACGTTTCTTTGAAGTAACGTGGGGAACGAGGGATATGATTTCTTCCCTGTTGTCACCAGCAGCATGCTGAACGATGGAAGGCCCACATTACCCAGCATCGAAATACACCAGACACAAGAAAACCCACTAGAAAGCCCCTTTAAACTGGGTGGGAGTCACCGATGGTGTGGTGATCCATTCGCCTGACTTGTGAGCGGGTAGCGTGGGATCGTCAATGGTGATCCCATGAAACCACACACCGGAATGGCAAAACAGAATTTACAAGATTATAACGACTTATTTCCCTTTATTTCTTTATTATTAGTTAGTCCAAATAACGTCACAGAACACAACGTGATTTGTATTGACTGCGGGAAGATAATGCCGTAATCTCCCTCTATTAAGTTTTTTGGTTCACTGAATGAAATGTTTTGAAGATAAGATATTCTTTTATTTGTATACACTGAGGAAATTGTGAAGGTTTGCTGGAGATCAAAATGTGCTGCGATGAACCAGAACAACAATTTATTGTAATCAGCCGTATTTGTTGTTTACATTCGCCTAGAACGTTTTGAGGTCGGAACTGGGACAATCCGGGTGCGAGTACTGTACTCCGATTTTATGCCCCGAGTTCACTCCGCGAATGGAGCCAAAGCTGAACAAATACGGCAGCCTGTGTAGAGTGACGTTTTTGGTGACGTAGTTTAGAAGCGACAGTGTTGTGTTTCTTTGAAAGAGGGAGGAAAGTAAAGAAAAGGAGTTTGCTTGATTTCTTCACTGGCTAAACCATTGTTCTGTGGAACTGGGATATTTCTGGACGACACCAACTGTGACCCCAACCGCAGCATCCCGTCAAGAAAGCAAGCCGCACAGCAAATCAAGGAAATCATTCGCAGCCACCCGGACCACACCGTAGTCTTAGGTGTTTTCCCCTCCCCCCACTGCTTCGTTCAATGCTCCAAAACATTTCGCGATTTGAAACGTTGAAATTGTTATCGGAAAAGCAAGTGACGGTGCCCTTATTTATTCAAAACAGGTTTTGAGAACCGCAACAAATTGTGAGTGGATGAATTGTCCAGTCCCAAGGTGTGGTGACGGAACGTGTCGCTGTCCTGTGCTGCCCCTTGCAGGTCTCTACGCCCTTGGAAAGGAGTCTCTGTTGGTGGAGCTTGCCATGGAGTTTCAAACCTGGATCGAGGTGAGTTTTGACAGGATGGAGACCCTCAGAGTGCTCGGGCTGCCCGACGTCTTCACCACCGACCCGGGCGCCGGCCGTATCCGCGTTGTGGAGCAGAGAGAGATCTCCTTTGCCGCCATGTGCCGGTGGAACAGCGAAGAACCCACGTTGGCCATCTATCCCACCAGCAGGCCCCTCCCCCTCTTCCACCCCAAACTGCACGTGGTGCCCTACTCGGACCACTCGTCTTATCAAGAGCTGGTGGACTTTGTCTCCGGGCTCAAACCTTCCTCCCTGTTGCCCATCGTTGGCAACGGCATCCCGGCAAGCCTCTCCACCTTATTACCCTACAAAAGGCGTGAAGTCCTGGTGCCCGAGTCGGTGCAACGCTACATGAGGAGGCTGCCGGAGAACTGGAGCAGATCATCGGTAAAACTTCGGCGCCAATATGTTCGACCGAATGTACCTAAAGGAGTGGTGTTTGAATCTCCCGGGGAGCGTCCGGGTCCGGGTTCTTCCTCCTCCGAGGACGACGCGATGGACATGGACAGTGATTGCAGCCTGGCAGAATCCCGCGAGGAGTTCACCTTTTACAAAAGCAGTCGAGAACCCTTGGACACGTGGAGGCTAAACCTCGTGCACCCCATCCCGGAAGAGATTTTGATGGCGCAACGGGTGCCGTTCAGTCAACTCAGCCAGAGCAATTTCACCCCTCTGGAAATCTTGCAGGACGCGGGCGGCGGCCTCACGCCGCGGCGACGCGCCACCGAGGAGGCGACGGCGAGCGCGTCTCACGGGACCCCCGCTCGTCCGCCGTCGTCGGACGACGACGACTCGAGCGTGTCTGAGGGCGGCTCTGTTGCCCTCGACGGTTTTAACGATTTCGTCGCCTTGTCCGGTTCATTTCGGTTTTCGGAGGCTCACCTAGAACAGCTTGAAAACGACATTTTGAAGCAGGCGGTTTTCCCGCCGGAGGACTTAAAGCCGTGCTGCCCGCTGAAGAGCGTCATGCGCATGGTTTCCCTCTGTCCCGTACGCAAGCCCGATGTGCCATAAGTGTGTTTTTGCTGTTAAACCGAGCGCGTCATTTCTTAACCTTTGCTGAGCCAATTCATTTGACATGATAAAAATCTCACATGGCCCGCCACCAAGCAGAAAATTTACGTGAAGGAAAAACCCACAACGATCACTTACACAGCTGGACACTGACAATATTAATAATAAATAAAAATGTACGGAATATTAAACATTGAAAAGCAGGCATTGGTATATTTTTACGTCCCACCAACCGAATGACCTTGATAAAACTCATTAAAATGGCCTGCAGAAAATAAATGACGGTATGCGTAGTGAGATATTTACGTGCGCACCCATTTGAGTAAATCACTACCATCAAATGATTTGACAAGATATATCCTATGTTCTCATTTTTGGAAAGAGACAATTCATCCGTCTACTCCAAATTTTACAGTGATCCATCGCTATTTCGCGATTCGTTTATGGCGGCCTCGGTGCATCGCGTTTTTTTCAAACATTCATTAAAAAAAAACTAAAATGCCGCAAAAAAGTCTGCAAGAGGCAGTGAAAGTCAGCAAAACAGCGAGTCACATAGAGCAACATATACAGTACTACATGTATGCGTTTACTGTTATTTCGTTAATCATACACGAACCTAACCTAACTTATACATGTTTAAATATATTAGTATATAGCATTAAGTAATGTTAATTACTACAAACGTGCATGTATGCCATTAAATTTGGCCTTATAAATATTATTTATACTCATACACATGTACATATACCTATATGGGCGGTTAGTTCGCGGATTTCCGTTAATCGCGGGTGGTTTCGGTCCCCATTAACCGCGATAAACGAGGGACTGCTGTATCTGTTTT